CTGTGACAACCAGGAAAGCAGATTTATATGAAGGTAAATCTTTTTTAAAGCTAGACCCCCTAAGGGTCGCCATGGCAGAGCATCAGCTTCCATCTCATTTGTCTTTCATTTCTCTTTTTCAGAGCATACATCCACCTCTCCAGGCTCTCTTCCACCTGCTCACTACTCTCAGTGCAGATCACAATGTCATCTGCTAACATTATAGTCCACAGAGAGTCCAGACCTCATCTGTCAGCCTGTCCATCACCACTGAGAACAAGGAAGGGCTCAGATCTAATTCTTGGTGTAATGTCCCCCCCACCTTGAACCTTTCTGTCAATCCTTCGACACACTTAACCTGTCACGGCCCGTGGCTCGGCATCCAGGGAGCCGTGGGAGGCTGCGGTGGCCACACCCTCGGGCTGGGCCGCCTCCAAACCACCTGCGTCTCATCTGAGGCAATCACCGGAGGACTACTTCAGCCAGCTCTGACGGCTTCTCCTCGCCAGTCCGTAAGTCTCCTCCCAGTGTGACCAGCATTTGGCGTGGAAGCCTGCCTGCCTGCCTGCCTGCCTGCCTGCCTCCCTCCCTCCCTCCCTCCCTAGGATTCCCTTCACGGGCACCTCTCCCCTCCAAGCTCCACGGTCCTGCTCTACCTGTAAGCCTCGGCAACTTATGAAGTCAAGCTGTTCATTTCTTGACAACCTGCCTACTGTTAACTGTGTCTCCCCTTTCTGTTGCAGTTTCCCCACGGTCCCGATTACGGCGCTCCTGGGCTCCACGCTCCTCGTTTCCCCCCATGGCATGAGCCACGTTTCCTTAGCTTTGTTAAAAGATTCCTCAGTTAAATAAAACTTGAGCTGTTCTGAGCTGCGGTGTGCTGAGTCTGCTTTTGGGGTCCTGTTACTTGAACACTCCGTGTTCTGTGACATAACCATTATGTGACTATCCTCATATGTTCTGCATCATGTTCAACCTGTGTGTGTGTGTGTGTGTGTGTGTGTGTGTGTGTGTGTGTGAGATTGGATGTTTTGTGAAATATGAGAACTTGAAAAATATGTGTGT